GGGGGGGGGGGGGGGGGGGCACACTGCTGTCGGAGTCATGGTTTACATGAATGAGTTAACAAAGTCTGTTTACTTTTTCGTGTCATAGAATAAATACGACAACAACAAACAACAAGTGAATGAGGAAAGGAGATAGATGTGCTCTGTCTTTATGCTGCCTAGTCCTTTAGTGATCTCCGGAGACAGATGTTGCTGCTCCCACCCAGCCGTCCACGGGGAACGAATATGTGTGTGCTTTCCCCCCGCAGCTCGAGCCGCGTGTGCCAGACCACACACCACGCACAAACGACAGGTCACAGCGCTTCGCAAGCCACAGCAAGCGTGTCTGAAAGCGAAACTAAACGGGGGGTAGGAGCCTGAAAACAAACATGTATGTTTCGCATCGATCCGTTATCGTGCGAACATTCTCCGCGAAAACTCTCTCTCCTCACTGCTGCTATACACACCCACACCGGTATTCAGGTTGGGGGGGCTTAATGCGGCTATACAACAACAAACAGCATTTACATCGTCCATACTGCTGTACACAAGACAAGAGAGAAGTATTAACCCTAGTTGGGTGGTACAGCAGTAGTACTCGATGTGCATACTACTGCTGCTGAAAAAATCATACTACCAGAGAGGTGGGCACTGCAGCACTCCTCCCGTAATCCAAAGACTACGACTAATTTGTGTTTGCCGGAATCCTCGTACTAATGGGGGGGCCTCAGTGGTCATTTGTCGATTGCTCTGAAGGGGTGGCTTCGGCTGCATCGAAATCTGCAGGGACCCTCGTTTATTTTCCGTGCTTGCCTCGTTTGGTGTGTGCTGTGCAGCCTTCTCACCGGCGTCTCTGGCTTCTTTGCTCTTCCTCCGCTTTTTACTGCCTCTGCCTTGCCAGCAAGAGGCCTCCAGGCCGTTCTTCCTCTAGGAAAGCTTCTTCTGCGTCGTGGTGAAGTGGAGTGTTTCTGGTCGCAACGAACGACTAGACCAGACCAGCTACAAGACGATGGAGAACGCAGACAGGGAGGCTTTATTCGGAGAGTCTTCCTCCCGACGTTCGGCTTCGCCGCCTGATACTGCTGGTGCTTCTGCTAGCTCCGGTGCGGGTAGCAACCAAGCTTCATCGCATCGCCACGGAGGAGCGATGGGAGGGAGGATTCAACACTACTCTGATGGATCGCCTGATGTGCGGGGCAATCTCGAGCAGCAACAGCAACAACCTCCGCCGTCGGGGCCCTTGCTGTGGGCACAAGTGCGGGACAGCATCGACGTGACAGAGCGCCGGCGGGGCTTGCGGTCAGCGCACGAGTCGGTCGAGGTCGGCAGAGAAGCCCTGGAGCGCCTCGATGATCAGAAAGGTCGGATTAGCGAACATATTCAACACTTGCGTTTGGGAGCGGCACAATTAATTCCCTGTTGAATTTCTCTCGTTCCTCGCGCCGTCTTGCCGGAGCCTCCAAACCTCTATGACTAGAAGCACGAAACGACAATGGAGGATACCAACCACCTGACAAGCGCTCTTTTGAGCATTACCGCTTAGAAGAGCTATGTATGCACAGAGTGTTACGACAAAGCCCTTCAATACATGAGAAAATCACCGTGCACACCGACACCTTGTTCATGTATGGATCGGGGAGCCGTCAGCCGTACGTGAACAAACAGCAGCACGCCTCGTCCTAAGTCCGCTCCCTGATGCCTTCATCCGGTGTGATCCTGCCTGTTGCCGAAAACATACACACGGGTTTTCTTCATGATCGGATCTCCTTGTTGACGGGGGGCAGCTGTGAGCTGTTCTTGTTGATCCGATCATGAAAAGAAAGCCGTTTTGTTTTCTGGCAACAGACAGGGTCACGCCGGATGAAGACGTTAGGGAGCGGAGTTAGGAGGAGCGGTGTAGTTTGCTTATTTCGCCGAGCACATTTCCGGAGCGGCGTTGGTTCGCATTCATGTAAAAAAGCACCTTGGAGACAAAACGACGGGTATCGCTTTGGAGGATCAGCTGGAGGCCTTCGGCTTCTCCGGCCCGTAGCTCTAGGCCTCTGCTGCACGCTCCGGCGGGTGAGTGCTGCGTGCCCTCGACAACGACCGCCTCCCCCCTCGTGTCCATCCCTCAACATAAAAAAAAACTCTTCAGAAAGGTTGGAGCGATCAGAGATGGTGCTGGACTCGACCCGGTACGCCATCGAGAGGAGCGCGCGGGTCCTGAGGGGCATGACCTTCTGGGGCAAGATACGAAACGCCTTTTCGAACGATCCCGAGGTGGGTTGTCGCAATGGGTGCTTCCGCTATGTTGTTAACCCAAAACCCAGGGTGAAGGGTACGAGCTGACGTATGTCTGTCTCTACTCCAGAAAGAGCGATTCAAGCCCTGTGTTTCTTCTTTTTGGCTCGGGTTCGATGTTGCGGGTGCAGACATTGGATGACGTAGAGTTCAATCGGACCGTGGCGATGCACCGATCGTTTTACGAGAAGGTAACCCAGCGCTTTTCCTGTCCAGAGCAAAGACAAAGCAAACTCTCGTTCCCCGTTTTTTCTCGATGCTGCGACGTGCCGGCGGCGGGCGCATGCGGCACGTCTTTTGCCAACAGGTGCCACAGCAGCCTGCAGGTAACACCCGGGCAGGGACAGCGACCGGCAACGGCGGCAACGGCAACTACGACCCCGATGTCCCGGCGGAGGGATTCATCTGTCCCGACTGCAGGGGGCTTTTCCCCACCTCGGACGCTCTCGTTGCCCACCACGGCTTAGCCCACACCATCGCGAGCGCCGATGACGATGAGGACGCGCGAGGATGGGGGGCCGGGGGGGGGGCGACGCAGTACGGGACCGGTGGGGGGGCGGGGGACGTAAGCGGCGGTAGTCACGGGGGCCCCATTCCCGAACCCGGGTCTTCAACTTCCCTCAAGGATCAGCTGTTCGGCGGCAGAGAGGGGTGGAGCGGCCAACGAGCCGGGGGTGCGGAAAGGAAAGGGGGTGGGGGGGGGGTAATCGCCGAGCAGAAGGCCGTGATGGCGTCGCAAGACGCGTACCTGGATTCCGTCGGGCAGGCGGTGAAGGAGCTGGGCCTCCTTGGCCGCAACATTGGGGAGAGCCTGGACGGGCAGGGGGCCACGCTGGACCGGGTGGCGGAGAAGTCGTCGGAGGCGAACGACCGCACGGCCTTCGTGACGCGCAAGGCCGCGCGGCAGGCGCAGAGCTCGAAGCCCAATAACCCGACCTTCGTCATGAGCCTGGCGCTGCAGGTAGATTGCCCGTCGTGCGAAAGGCGTTCTTTTTGTCGGGGGCAGAGGGAGAGGCTGAGCGAGAAAGAGAAGAGAGACAGAGAGAAGAGAGACAGACAGAAAGAGAGAGAGAGAGAGAGAGAGAGAGAGAGAGAGAGAGAGA